AAACAGTACTACCAAACGTATAAGAAGTCGTACAACCAGTAGCATTGGTATTGCAGCTGCGGTTGTGATATCGTGCATTTGGTGCATGTCTTAAAATGTCATAATGTCTTTTTGCAACGCATGAAGCTTGGAACGCAGCATGCAACATGGTGCAAACAGAGATGTGCACAATCCAATACCATAGGCGACTCCGCTTTGCACTCAACATTGTAAACTCCACTCACTGACCTGTAAGGAGTTTGTAATATGATGCGAATCCTACCAAATCGCCAGATGTTTCCTCACGTGCTAATATGTATAAACAAATACGCATCTACATGTTCCCTTCTCTTTGGCATCACAGTAATCATTTAGTCATATTTGTTTAGGATTCCAGAAAAGTTTATTTTTCTTTTTGTACGATGTGGTTAACTGCTTTTCGGACTAGTGTGAACGGAATAAGTTGATACATATGGCTTGATCCGACATGGCTGAGGGTTCGTGTTTCTCTAACTGTGAAGGCGTTTTGTTGATTGAAAATAAATATGTTTTCGTGTGTTTGCTTTGCAATAATAGCTTAGAATGCACTTGTATTGAATGGGTTGAACACCGTTTCGCACTCATGTTTACTGTTAACAATATCAGTTTCCTTCCCACTAATTATTTGCTTACTTTTCACCCACATGGCAACAGTTTCGTAAAAAAATGCATAACAACAATAAACTTGTAAATATCATTTGACAAGCGGCATGTTATTCCCATAATGATGGCTAACACTTGTATTTATGATTATTATTGTATTACATCGCATAATAATAACCGAACCTGTCGAACTGTGTTCTTGGGATACATTTTGAAATTCTCTTTTTCAAATTCTAAACTTTTAAACAAAACTTTATCACCATAGCAAAATGGCTATACCCACTCTATTGAATTATAGTTATAAGCATGTATTGATTATGGACAACAAAACTCGCATACATCGTATACAATCCATATTATTAATCATAAAAATCTCATCTGTGCATTATAAAGAGCTTTCTTCCAAACAAAATCCGTTCCTATTAACACACGTTTCGTGACAATGGCCATCAACACTATTCCTATCAATCAATCCTTCCTATTCAGATAGCATAAGATACATCTTTAATTATCCCCTATACGATTCAACGTACGAACAGCGATCTCGAGGCGTATTTAGCCTATCGGAATGTAAGCAATTCAATACCCACTGAATTAGCTATAACACATAAATAGAAGAACCACGCGCCAGATAACGAGATAATATTCTATATTAAAAATAAGTATACTTCTCATTCAGCTAGAACGCACAAAATGCAAATTGTAGTGGTACAATACATCCATTTAAAACCTAGCATCTACTTATATTGGGGAATTCATTAATCGCATGATTACATCGAAGTCTGATTAGTATGTGCCTGTATGTATACGCACATAGCTGGTGATAACGTAGCCCTGTTTGGCATGTCGAAGCTTGCTCCATAACCTGACCAGATCCAGTCCAAGAAAAGTCGTATTTTCATCTTTAATGATTTCTTTTCTTTCTATTCTTTGATATGGCAAACAATCTTCCTGATACCTGTTTATACTGCATTAACCGCGGCTCTTTCATCCCGGAGTCAAAAGTCGAAATTCGTATTTTTGTTCAGTTATTTGTTCTTATTATTCTGCGACTCCCGATTCTCAAAGCAAATACGGTTATAGAAGTTTGCCTAATCACTCAATTGCAGTGGTTGAAAATTCCCATTACCTGGCTAAATTCACATGACTGTAATGTTTATTACTCAAATGACAGAATTCCCAAAGGGCTCAGGTGGCCTTTGAGATAATTGATATTTAGGCCGTCTCTTCGCTAAGCTAATGAGACGAGTCCCCTCGTCATTTCCACATATTCTTAGTTAATATCATTGTGGAAAAAAGAGAAATCATTCGCTTTGGATGTCTATTTTTGAAATAATTTCTCTGCGCATGAATACAACGTTACAGTTGCCGGTTTACCGCTCATGTTATTCCGAGACGACGTGGCTTTGAATTGTACGGGATTCGATAATCAAAACATTTGCAAAACAGGCGGTCAAGGGGAAAACCAAATTAAACCTCCATTACGCAGACCCAGTAAATCAGAGACAACGGCAAACCCAGGGGAAACAGAAATTGAAATGAACGAATGCCACAAAGATCAAAGCTTTCACCGTATTATGAGAATAAATAAGGCTTTGAGTTGTCCCCCAGAATACAACCTTCGTAATTATAATGCTCATTTAGGGAGATTGAGTCAGGTCGCATATGAACAGACTTGAAACATGAGCCGGTTCAGACTTGGCAAGACTTAGGGTCGAACAGTTACAACCTGATGAAAGCTTTTTACTGATCATAAGTTCAATCGCCCAATAATACTAAATTAATTAGAAAGCATCATAGTAATCAAGGTGTAATTATGAAAGCTGATTAACGCAGCCGTTTAATTCTATACAGTTGGGCGACATGTTGATGTAATTTAATCCTGTGTCACTCCGTGCATTAGACAAGTTATGTCAATTGCAGTTTGGCAGCTAGGCGGAGCTATATCACGATAACGTATATTTCACACAGAAAGCGTACATTGCAATGTTAAGTACAGATAATTGAATTTCCACGTGCCCCCCATTTCTGAATCATATTATTACTTACATACGAGAATGAAAGTACCAGCAGTCAACACTTGTCAATCGTATGTTTTCCTTGCAACATATTATGTCAATTACATACAAGCGAAATTTATTTAAGGGTAAGACAGCCAGAATCAATATTTATTTGCTCTTTTGGGTGAAACAGTAGTCTTGGAGACCACACGTTATTCATCACATGTCGATTAGGTTAAATGTCTTGAGCTGACGAGTATTGATTTAAACTAGAGTGTGATTCCTTATCAATATAAATATCGAACAGAATGCATTTTCTTCTAATCATTTAGTAAACAAACACTCAAAGGATGCCTAAAGTACCACAGCACACCCATCTATAAAGCAAAAAACAAAATATACAACTAAAAACAAACAAAAATTCTAAAAAGTATAAAACATATTTCACATACATGCATGACTTGTATATACAGATCACATGACAAATCTCGTCATTTGTATAATACGTGATCAAACCTACACGTCAAATTGTCAATACCGGCTGTTATCCTTTAATTAATACAGATGAGATTTAGGAGCCTGAAGCAAGCATGTCAAATTTGGAAGAATATTTACATAAAACACCGCACCGGAGGCAGTACATAGATTATATGTTCAAAGCGTGTTGCACGACAATAAATTTTATTAGTGTGCTTGTCATATTAACTTGAAATCAATTGGAAAGTTGGCCCACCCGGCAACATTTGGGAAAATAAGACACTTAAATTATGAAGCGAGTAGACCTCTTTCATTGTCCTGTCAATACCGTCGAACACGTTGCAACTTTTACAACTATTCCTGTAACATATCACTTATTATGTAACGTTACGACAAACAATCATCCATAGCGTGTAAATACATATCGCGTTATGATACCCGTGTACAATATAACATTTATGTAGAGGAAGGGAATTGGTTCATTCAAACAATGATAACAACTTTAGATTAAAAAGATGTTTTAATCGCGTCAAAATCTGGTCTTTTACTTGTTTTAATTGTTTTAGCCACATTTCGCCCTAGTCACAAGGTGAGAAAATTGTGATCGCAAAAGCCAATTTGTCAGGAAGGCCAATGGAGCTTTTGCCACGAGACGTACAAAAAAGCTGGGTGTATTTAAACAATCTGCAAAATAAATGGGGATTATTTGATAAATGCAATATGTTTTCATAGGTCTTTTTTTAACATGCGGAGAAAGGCCTTGTTTCTACAACAAACTAGAGTCGTGGAAGGCATTTTAGTTGATCATTGAGTGCACCAAATGTACACCTCTATTATATCGAGAAATAGTTCCATTATTCCGCGGAAGGAACAAGGTGGTGCTACATGCGATGTGTCATTACGTGGATCAAACAGCCACTCATATGTACAACATTGTGGACAGGGAGTACAACAAGCCCACACTGGATTCAAATAAATCCACAGAACCATCAACGTAAAGACGTCATATTATCCACATAAACCCCCATTAGAATCGAGATGGAAAAAGAATATTTTTTCGTTTTAAAGAAAACAAATTGTTAGATTAGCTATGCATGAGTATACTGAGGCGACTATTGTGTCTTTTGTAAGGGGAAAGGTATCCGAATCTATGAACGCCCGAGAACGCATTTCTGTTGTAACACATTCTGTCTGCCTGTTTTATAATACAAGCGATTAAAATGGAATACTTCGAACTATTAAATAATAAGTTTATAGGCCATTAAATTTTCAAATGGTTAAATATTACAGCACGTCTCATTAGCTACCCTGTGTGTTTCTCAGCTCTGAAATGAAAACAAGTGTGTCCTTTTTTCCGAATGCTTTAACTCGGGGAACCATTTTCTCGAGCCTCTGACCCGCGAAGCATTAATCTTGTCACAGGACAAAAGCGACCTACGAGTCTCGTGCAAGAAGCTGGATGGAAGGCGACCCCCCTTGGTCCCTCCCCCCTTTCCATCTCACCTGGACGGGTACAATACAAATGGGGGAATCGCTGAGACGAGACAAGAAATATGAATTTTATGTGTGCGAACTAAAGAGGAACTCAAAGGATTAAAATGCACTTCGAAGGACTTTTGGGAGCTTGTGTGGTTAGGTTTTGTTGTAATCCGCATTTGCCTGTCTTTGTATCAAGCTTTCCCGCTTAGCGATTTCATAACGTTCTTGAGAAAATGCGAACCTATGAAATTACTGCACCTAATTCCGTTGTTCAAAGATGTCGAGATTTAAATATATGGAAGAAAATACACATATAAAACTAACAAAGCTTCCCAACCGCCATTGTTGTACACAAGGTCATGTGACGATGTATGCGCCCCCATGCGGTAAGATAAAGAAACAAGGGCAGATAGCTCTTCTTACCGTCATCTCGGTCATCCTCTGACATTTTGTCATCATCCGGGTCGTCATCGTCATCATCACTTCTGAGGGGCCCGACTGATTTATAAGCATCTTTAAGGTGCCCATTGACGTGGAGGTTGAGTGGTTTGTCTGAAACAAGACACCCGATAATGTGGTCAGACATTAGTGGCATTGAGACTCGAAAGGTAAAGAGATGTGAAAACTGGATCTTTTGCCATGTGTTGTTAATACCAAGAAATTCGACTTAACATCATATCCGAAAAATAGACTGGGATTATTTAATAGGTGAAATAAATTATGCTGCCTCTTAATTGCAGCGGAAAATAATCGTGATTTTTTTTTTATAAGAAAATATTAGAGAGGGAGAGTCTGTATAATGAGTGAGTGATAATGTTTTTACGCCGCTTTTAGCAATATTCCAGCAACGTTACGGCTTTGTACTCCAGAAATGGGCTTAACACATTGTACCCATGTGGAGAATCGAATCCTGGTCTTCGGCGTGACGAGCGAACGCTTTAACCACAAGGCTACCCCCCGACCGAGTCTGTTTAAGAATTTAATGTACACTCTATGATGAACAAAAATGTTGAATGTTTTGACATTGGAAAATAGATCACACTAATTCCATTCATGGTAATAAAAGTAAAAATATTCTTTTAAAACAACCATACTTATACATACCGTCTGATAAACATTATAGTGAAAGATAGTGAGTGATATTGGTATTATACCGCTTTTATTACAGCAATATCACGCCGGGGGACACCTCAAATGTGTTTTCCACATCGAAGCCGGACTTTCGGCGTGACAAACGAACGCTTTAACCACAATACTGGGTAACTGTGAAGAATGTGAGAGGTTTAAAGTCTTCTCAGAGCAGTTGCCTTTTTTATTGGTGCGTTAAAAAGTAAAGTGGTTGCTCACTTGAATCGTTGTCCATCATCCGGGGATGACTCCGGTCAGTGTCATAGGGGGATTTGCCAATACCGTCATCGCGACCTCTGAAAAACATAACATGGTGAATGAGTGAATGAGTTGGGATTTACGCCGCTTTTAGCAACAATCCAGCAATACCTCGGCTGTGCACACCAGAAATGGGTTTCACACATTGTACCAATGTGGGGAATCGAACCCGGGACTTCGGCGTGACGAGCAAACGCTACCCCACCGAACATAAGATAGATGAACTTATCATTTGAAGTAAGTGAGTGAGATGCACACTCCATTTATAAGTATTGCAAACTCGCACCAAGGACACCAGGAACGTTACTTTTTTATTAATCAAGATTTTCGACGTGTATAGCGATTGCTTTAACCACTGGACTATATAACGACAACGTTTGTATCTCAGATAGTGTAACTGGGTTATTTCCCTTGCACAATCACAGATGCACTGGTTGTGCATTTGCTATAATTTCTTTATTTCCTTATTTTCCTCCATCAGGCTAACACCATTGACCGTGGATACTATATTAGCTTTACTCTCAAGAACGCCAGATAAGGATTAGTCATAATTACGAAAGAAATTCCGATCAATAGATAAATAGATTTAATCAGCCTCTTGATGAAATGATTTAGCATACACCGACGTCATTTAAACACGCAAGTAACACACTTAGAAACATAACAACCCTAAGATGTGCTTAAACCTCTGTTAGTTTAGAAACTGTGAGGGACGAAACTTGTTTGTATGAATATCCTCGTCCTAGTATTTACGTCCTTCCGCGATGCAAATCATGCTCTCTGTTAAAAAATTTAAAGAGATAAAAATATTGACCATGGCTTTTTGCGAAGTATGTAAGTTAAACATTCAGAAAAAGAAAATATTGTGCTACTTTTACATAACATGCCTTTCACTCTTTCTCATTGATGGGAGCATTAAAGCTTTACCTAGTTGATTACCATGGTTTTGTGTGCGTATATATAGATGTCTGGTTGATGACGCTTAGGTTCTTCAATATGAGGAGACTTTGAAGTCCTAGATACAAATTTCTGACGCATATTGTGTTTTGCAATAAATATTTATCCAATTGAAAAACAACTTTTTTTAGCTGCCATGAATCATTTGATCAAGTCCAAACAAAGAAATCATCTTCTATGACGAATTATAGAACAAAAATAACTCTCAAGTTATTTGAACTTCCTTTTCTGAGGAGATGATACATAGTTATCTCCCTTTGATAAATCTTTGGTATTTGAAAATTACCTCTGAAAGCGGAAGCACATTTACTCTCTTTCTAAAGCCTGTCTCTTCAATTAAGAGTATACCTGTTGGAGTGCGCAAAACAGGTTTAGCGCACATGTCAATATTTTCTCTTTTGTTTCATGCGTTCGCAGCAATAGTGCAATTGAGCGAACTTCAACAAAAGCAAGACGACTTGGCTCTAATCGTCGTTGATTTAATACGTGTGGGATTGAATCCGCATGTCGATGGCATTACAGCAACGTTCGTCTGTCTATGAAGAGCCATCATCCCACCGCCATTATCAAATGGAAACGGAAGCCAGGTCGAAGCCAAGTATTGTGCTGAAATCTATTTGCAATACAAGTGAAAAGCACGCGTTGTAAGGCATACGAAACGATTTTCATATACGTCCTTACCGTTGTTCAAAACAACAGTCACGGAAAGCAGTTTCAAGCCAAACAATAAATTCATTTGAAGATAAAAAGCACTGTGTTGTTTTCATCAATCGATGCCAATAGCCGTAAAGAGATTGCGCTTAACGCGACACGACAATTACTTTATAAAGAAAGGGCGTGTGGAGCATTTGTTTTTAACAATTGGAAACAAATTTCTTTGGATGCGTGAGCGAACGTTAATCAGTTGCATGTTGTATTTTGAGAAAAACCCTGACTAACATATGTGAGATGCATTGTCTTTTGTGAAAATTCTTTAGTTTTGACTTCAAGTGAGTCCCTTTCTGCTTTCAACAAAAGTATAAAGAAAGCCAAATTGCGATTATATGTTCGTGGGAGAAGTACCATGAACAAGAAGGTGTGTTAGGTTCTTGAGTCTCGATGGTTTTGTCTTGAGGGCAACAGAAATACTGAACGCTTATTTTGTACAGAATGGATGAGTATCAAGTCTTGTTACAATACATTGTCTGGTTTCTGATCGATCAGGGACGTTTATCCCGCACACATGTACATATTTTTTCTAAACCCAATCACAACTCAGTGACTAAGTGGGCTTAGTAAAATATTTCTTTTCAAAATCATTAAACATTTTAATCTTTTTGTTCATATTACGGTATCAATCATTCTCATAGGCTACAGTTTGGATCGATTTGGATATTTAAGGTTATGTAACATGTTTTATAAGGTATTCGCAGCTGAAACAAAATCTCATAAATATTAATATCGATCCGGAACTTTATACTGCGCAGATAAGGTATCTATAAGGGGTCAATAATAACATTAGCTTTTCTGCATCTGTTACATTCTCTGTAGCTAATGATCAATTTTGTGTCAGATGTCCATTAAACATACGCCTAAAGTTGTCTAGTGGCTGTATAATTGAAGATGTCTTATGGTTGTGTAAGTGAAGGTGCTTAGTGGTTGTATAAGTGATGGTGTCAAGAGGTTGTATAAGTGAAGATGTCTTATGGTTGTGTAAGTGAAGGTGTTTAGTGGCTGTATAAGTGAAGGTGTCAAGAGGCTGTATAAGTGAAGGTGTCTAGTGGCTGTATAAGTGAAGGTGTTTAGTGGCTGTATAAGTGAAGGTGTCAAGAGGCTGTATAAGTGAAGGTGTCTAGTGGCTGTATAAGTGAAGGTGTTTAGTGGCTGTATAAGTGAAGGTGTCTAGTGGCTGTATAAGTGAAGGTGTTTAGTGGCTGTATAAGTGAAGGTGTCAAGAGGCTGTATAAGTGAAGGTGTCTAGTGGCTGTATAAGTGAAGGTGTCAAGAGGTTGTATAAGTGAAGGTGTCAAGAGGTTGTATAAGTGAAGGTGTCAAGAGGTTGTATAAGTGAAGGTGTCTAATGGCTGCAAAAGTGAAGGTGTCAAGAGCTTGTATCAGTGAAGGTGTCTAGTGGCTGTATAAGTGAAGGTGTCAAGAGGTTGTATAAGTGAAGGTGTCAAGAGGTTGTATAAATGAAGGTGTCTGGTGGCTGTATAAGTGAAGGTGTCAAGAGGTTGTATAAGTGAAGGTGTCAAGAGGTTCTATCAGTGAAGGTGTCTAGTGGCTGTATAAATGAAGGTGTCAAGAGGTTGTATAAGTGAAGGTGTCTAGTGGCTGTATAAGTGAAGGTGTCTAGTGGTTGCATAAGTGAAGGTGTCAAGAGCTTGTATCAGTGAAGGTGTCTAGTGGCTGTATAAGTGAAGGTGTCTAGTGGCTGTATAAGTGAAGGTGTCAAGAGGTTGTATAAGTAAAGGTGTCTAGTGGGTGTGTACGTTAATGTGTCGTGTGACTGTATATGTGAATGTGTCAAGCTGTATTAGTGAAGGCGCCTGGCTGAATAAGGTATGTGACTGCATAAGTAAAGGGGTTTAATGACTGTAAAAGTGATGGTGTCTAGCTGTATACGTGAAGGTTTCCTGTGGCTGTTCTTGTGCAAACATCCACATCAGACAAACGTATCTATGTTCTTGCACTAGCAGCCACACCAGCCACATACATCTAGGTTCTTGCACTAGCAACCACACCAGCCACATGTATCCTGGTTCTTGCACTAACCACCACACCAGCCACATGTATTTAGGTTCTTGCACTAGCAGCCACACCAGCCACATTTATCTAGGTTCTTGCACGAACCACCACACCAGCCACATGTATCTAGGTTCTTGCACTAGCAGCCACATCAGCCAAATGTATCTAGGTTCTTGCACTAGCAACCACATCAGCCAAATGTATCTAGGTTCTTGCACTAGCAGCCACATCAGCCAAATGTATCTAGGTTCTTGCACTAGCAACCACATCAGCCAAATGTATCTAGGTTCTTGCACTAGCAATCACATCAGCCAAATGTATCTAGGTTCTTGCACTAAACACCACACCAGCCACATGTATCTAGGTTCTTGCACTAACAACCACATCAGCCACATGTATCTAGGTTCTTGCACTAACCACCACATCAGCCAAATGTATCTCGGTTCTTGCACTAACAACCACATCCGCCAAATCTATCTTCGCTATCTTGTAGAAACCAGTCCAAATACTAGACATCTATAAGCCTTATACAAACCATTCAAAATACCTAAAAAGCATTATAAGTCTTGTAATATCATTCAAACTGATATAGATATATACGCCTTGTACTGCCCTTTCAAAATGCTACAGATGTAAAAGCGTTGTACTAACCGTTCAAAACATGAGAGATCTATAAACCTTGAACTAACCGTTCGCAATGCTAGAAATCTTATAAGCCTTGTACTAACCGTTCCAAACGCTAGAGATATATAAGCCTTGTACTAACCGCTCCAACTACACGATATCTATCCGGCTCCTAATGGTAACAACGTCGGTGCTCGAACCAAAGTGAAGCCATTCGCGAGGGGTATACACGAAACGATTGTACTTGAGGGACCTAGGGTTCACCGAGTGCTCACTCTATCCCCCTGTATCCCCCTCCACAGATCCCCTTACTCGGCCGAGGGTGCTAACAAAATTACTTTTCCACTTGCCCAACAATTTCTTGTTTTAATGGCAATATACACACCATCTGTGAGAGTACTGCAGATAAACTGACGGAGAGAGCGGGACATATGTTTCCCCCGGCTTGCCAAACTTTACAACAATCTGTTATTAATTACAGAATTGTGAGAAGCCAATAGTTTCAAGACAGCGCACATAGCGGGCACCAGCGTCAGGCGTTTTCATACAATTTCAGTTTTGTTTGAGGAAATCTCGCAATGCCCGACATGGCCAACTTCTTTGTGAGTTCTGTTCCGTTTTTGATATATAATCCGGGATCAAAGAAACAAATGATTTGTCATCAAATCGTCAGCAATAATTTTCTTACCACAAATTGGGTTTTTCTCATTATTTTGTCATTTTCTATCAGAAATAGGTTTCTAAACACTTTCACGTGTTTGATAGATTTTCAAGACGAGGCTCCAGCTGCCCCCATCGGATTCTTGCTGCTTTATAACGAAAATATCATAATTAATTATTTCATTATGCATAGCAAGATGTTTTAGTAAATCAAGATAGTACAGGTACTGTGTGTAGGGATTCAATCTGCATCTTACATTTTATTGTGCCTCAAGCATGGGCTTGACAAATAATTTGTTTGCCGCATGTGCTTCATCTTCTACAAGAAGCACCAGGGAGCTTCCAGGTGTAACATATCACTTGAAAGGTTGCATATATTTACTTTTTCTTTGGACTGGGGCCAACCGAATGTTCACGGTTTATTCATTGGGAGAATGAGAAGTTGATAACACTTTCTGTATCAGAAGGATGAGGACTTGGAACCGTCACATATACCCTCTGTTTTGGCATTTCATAATTTGTTTTTTTTTATATAGGTTTGCGACAAGGTGAATTCATCGACCTACCGCTCTTACTAATAAATACAGAATGATTATGTATATGTTACTCTAACTATCTTCAGTCTATACTTTATTTACTATTCTCACACATTCATTTCTTTGTTTAGATAGTTATTCGCTTTGTCATTCTCTCACACATTTCTTTTTTCAAAATATTCCGCTTTAATTAGGATACGCCTTCGCTTATCCATACTTCAACAGTACTTGCAGCTCCGTTCATCCGCTTCCTTTCTTTGTGGTCGTTTTAAGAATGTTTGGAGGTTAAAACCATTTGAATGAAACAATCATTAATGTTCTTTAATTGAATGTAACATGATACCCTCTGAAAATGTTCTATTTATCCAGACCGCATAAATTAAATTCGTAATTTCTGTTTTCAACATTTTGAACTTAACATCTCTTTACAAACCTCATAAAGTTAATATTTATAACCTCGTAGAAGTTGATAAATTATTTAAAGTTAAGGCACATCTTTCTGTACGGTTTATGACAAGTATAGATTTCACAGAGATTAGGAATTCCCATTATAAATCCAAAAGTATTGAAGAAAAAACACATTAAGATATTTATCTTCGAGCTACAAAGTACAACGCACTTCTATTCACTTCTATTCACGGAGCGTAATATAGGCTTATTTACCTCGAGGCGGGAGATAGAGATTACACACGCACTGACTCCATCTACATGACAATTGTAACAGATATCAACACATAATCCTTATGTTTATTGTAATATCGTACATTTGTGCTAAATGCAATTACCACGGTTGTCTATTTTCACAACGTACGAGATAAACGTTTTCCCTTCGTTTCAGGTACAAAGTAAATGAGTTTTGGAGGACTTTGAAAAACTAATTCTGTGTCGCATCATTACTCGTGGTGTTTTTTTCCAGTACTGCCAGCGCGATCAAACACTAACCGTGTTATGTTCTGGTTACATTCTTCATTTCAACATACCGTGATACATGCGAAAAAGTTAAAATGGGTGTATAATGATTAATGCACATAGCATATATTTTGCAACAATGTCTTTTTCTTAAAGTGAGTGAGTGAGTGAGGTTTTACGCCGCTTTTAGCAATATTCCAGCAATATCACGGCGGGGGACACCAGAAATGGGCTTCACACATTGTACCCATGTCGGGAATCGAACCCGGGTCTTCGGCGTGACGAGCGAACGCTTTAACCACTAGGCTACCCGACCGCCCCTTTTTCTTAAAGAATACAATACTGATAATAGTAGTTTGATGAGATTCTCGAGTCCAGTCTTTCTATTACGCTCATCGCATGTTTTCCATTTCATATTGAATCAATTTTGAATCATAAGTGAATCGTTGCTGATTAAAAGAAGAAAAAAAACCATTTAATTGATTAACAAACGCATATCACACACATGAATGCGTACCAATAACCTACACGTAAACACATACACTTGATGACCTTTCTGACATTTTCAATTCTAGGTTGAGTCATTTCTCTATTACATTTTCCCTATTCACATTTCTATTTTTTTCCCCATTGCCTTTTAAACCCAATGTCGGATAATCGAGACTGGTTATTCTCTGGCGTTGACGTTTTATATTTACCATAATACCAAAAAACCCACGATGAACTATATCGGTTCGCAGACCTACAATATAATTCATATCTATACACAAGATATTACCGCACACGTATTGCGTAAGAACAAACGCATAGACGTACCTGGGCGACATGAGATCCGACTCTGAGCTTGACCTGTCTTTGATGATTGATCCGTCAGGTCTTAGGCCTAGGTGCTGAGCCATTGCCATGGAGACTGGGGGTGACATCATAGGGTGAGTGAGGGGCATGAAAGGAAGAGGTCCCATGGCATACGGATGGTGTGGGAAGCCGTTGAGTAGGGACTTCCTGTCTCCTGGAAAATACGAAAGACCTATATCGATTTATTGATTAGAAATCAAAAGGTTGACAAACAAACATACAAATCACATCACAATACATCATCATTTTTATAGAAATTAAGAAGCATTTGAAGATGGCTTTATATCAATTAAGTTTGAATTACATAAAACATATATTTACGTATTTAAAGAAATAACGGTTCAATGTGTTATCCATATATGGTATCCATTGCAAGAACAATTATTATGATGAACATATGCGGTGTTTTATGTGTGTTATGTGTTCTCATATTTGGAAACGTACACCGGCTAACACAGAATTATAAGAGGGTACATGGAAACCATCATTGTAGTGGCCGGGGAATCGAACCAGTTTCGCCCATGTAGAAAAACAATACGTTGACTGCTAACGACCCAGCTAAATGATGTGTTGGTGTTATAAACCCCAGTTGGTTAAATTGTAGTTATTTAATTCAAATTAGAACAAGAGGGAGTGAGAAAATGCTGTCAATTTAGCAGAATCAACATATTTGTCGAGACAAAAATGCCTTTTTTTTCAATTTTGCTTTTCACTCAATCAGGTGATATCAGAAATGCAGTTCTTCTGATAAAAAGTCATGCAAAGGTCGTGTTTTAATTCAGTTGCGTTCGACAAATCATTGAATTTTATAAAGCACGGCATTTAATTATTCCAAATTAACCCCCACTTAAGCCTGTAGTTTTATGCTGTTCCTGTCAAATGACTTAATGATCGACTGTCCCATTTGTCACTATGGCAGTGCAAACTTCCGGGGACTGACCGATGCCGGAATTCGGTTCAATATCCCTTCCGACATTTGTATTTAACCCAGTGTGCCGCATCCAATATGGCGGTCGCCATGTGCTCAGACGGAAGTGCGGACGACAGGGGTTTACGTTATACACCTGCCATATAAAGATAATATGGTCTTACAGTAACTGATAGCTTTATCAATTTCCAGCATGAGTAATATTGTTTCGTGTAAATAGGTGTTTTTACAAGGGGTTTCATTGTTCACCTACATCTAAAAATGTACTCACATAATGTACACAAAATCAAGAATGTACATTTCTTAGGGACACTTATTATAAGAGGGGAGAAAGGGGGGGGGGAGATGACACAAAAATTTTTTTTAAAATAAATGGTCATTTTGAGCATTTTCTAGAGACTGGTCATATATTATAGTAAGGGGTTCATTACGTAGTGTTAAATAAAAAAGGGGGAGTGAGGTGGGGGCCAGTCAAGATCAGTCCACCCCCACCTCTTACCCCTTCCTCTAATATATTGGACCAGTCCCTTAGTTCACATAACGTGTCATGTTGGATATTTCATCCTCTGCATGTTTCAATGACTCATAACAATGATCGTTTCTTCAGACTTAAAACGAGAGCGTGTGCCGGAGAGCGAAAGGTTGGGGTTCGATCCCCGGCCGCGTTATATCAAAAGACGTTAGAAGATGGTACTTGTTGTTGCACTGTCTGGCGCTCAGCATTAAGCACACACACACACACACACACACACACACACACACACACACACACACACGTGCATGCAGGACGCTTTATAAGTGCAATAATCTTGAACGCGATGCAGTAATGTCCATTATCTTATTCAATGTTATTGTTATCGCTAAACCTTCGCATTTAATCTGATCAATACTATTTTGAGCCAAATATCCTCAATTCTAAATAAGCCTTTATCTGATTAAATGCTAAGAATTCAGTATCACTTCAAAATTCAAATGTTTCCGTTTCAGATCATTAATCCGCTTTTCGAATAACCCTTTGGCTAACACGATTAATTGAGAACATGGCTGAACAGGAAGTGAATTAAATGGCGACATCTGTACATGGATGTTTAGAAAACTTACATCCGAGTGGACAAACGTTATTTCAAGCTGTCATTTATAATGACAACAAATAGGCATTTAATGACACTAAGAAAGCGTATTTATTTCAGCCCGTGATAGCAACCGTGGTAAAACAGAATATGTAGTCGCTATTGGAAAACCAGTAATATTCAACATGTCTGTTATCTTAGATGAGACGGGTCCCGTTATCCAAATATTAAATCAGAATCGGAGACCGTGTGTGCTGAATTAAATATAAACAAAAGCATAGCAAGCAAACAATTCTAACGTCTTTAGATTTCTACATCAAAGATATATATTTGTTATGGAAATAATACCTCTGACGGATCGTTATAAACTAAACATGGCCTTTCTTTATGTTACATGTATAAACATAAACTGACTAGCAATAATATTTTTATTGTCAAGTCGTCCAAATGTTGCGCTTAAGGTGGACGGGAAATCGCTATACTGTTAATCAACGCCTAGCTCTATGGGAAGATGCACCGTGGATAATGTCACGCCGGTGAGGTCGCGTGATCTCGCCAGTAGCGTCAAGGACATTGTGAAATATCTTACATCACTATCGTGAATTATAAATGACATGTAATTAATTCAATGTCAACCTAAATCAGAAAAAAATATGGTTATAGATTTGTAAAAACATATTTGTCTGCGAACATCTAGTTTATATAAGTCTCTTTTCGGACGCTTCAAGTTCTGATAAAGGACCCGTTATGTCCTGAAAGGATGAAAAAGTGTTGTTTCTTGTTATATATAATCCTGTTTTACACTATACGCCCAAGGGCGACTGGGTAGCAAAATGGTTGATGCGTTTGCGTTAACACGCCGAAAACCCGGTCCATTCTCCGTAGCATACCATGTTGTGTCCCGTGCCTGATATTGCTGGAATATGGCTAAAAGCGGCGTAAAACCATACTCAGTTACTCTACGTCCTTTACGTAACTTAACTGTCAGCCAATATAATTTAAATTTCATCGAATTTCGTTTACATGTTACATTTACATCATTGCAGTAGTCGGTTTCGTATCATGTCGCTATTCTACCTTATATAAGCCTGTACCTAAAGAATACCAATGTATTGATTCCTCGAGGCTTTTGTTCATATCATCGACATGCGCTTTAAATTGTCACTCACATTCCTAAGTTTGCATAAATATATACCTTTCCATCAATAGAACTACTATATTTAACTTCACAGATTTGTGTAACGCTTTGTTTTTAGTTAGGAACAGGGAGATCTATACTTTTTCAAAGTTTATTTAAAGCTCCATGGCAGCGCGGACCTATAGAAAGACACACGAGGCGAACCCTCCGACCTGGTCTATTCTCTTCACAGCGTCTAAACCACGAAAACATGAAGCAGATCAAACAATCTGTCTGTATTTTCTTTAACAATGTTGCCTCGGTGTGCGTTTCACTCTCGCGGATACCTTGGTTTCACCTGTGCTGCTTATAGAAAACTCGAGTATGCTCGGAGGCTAAGCGAGTTGGAATACAGGTAGAGGAATATTGATTAAAAGCGCCGACCTTCGGCTGATAGTCCTACGCAGGAGACACAGGTAATTCTGTATAAAGGCTTATGATCTCAGCTGCCCAAGATGGCTATACTAGAAGACTATTGGCGTTTTGATTTGTCTCGTAGCATCTGCTTCATACAGGACACAGAGGCAGGATTACGTTGGAGGGATGAAACGCTGGAGACTTTCTCCTTTCTAAATCCTGCAAATTCACGGACATATGCAACCATACCGATCTTCCTGTCAGGCTTATTGAGTTTCAGCCGATAGAAGAGCACTTTCAACTGTCTTAAAGATAGCCTTTGTTTGGGTTTACGGGGCTTTTGTGCTTCAGCAAAATTACTCGACGTCAAGAGTTGAATTGATCAGAAATAGAAAACTACATTTCCTCTCTGTCAAGGCAGCAAAACCAACATGTAAAGAAAGGGAAGCCTTATGAGCTGGTGATACGCCATAATAGTCTTCCTGTCGTGGCGCTGACAATGTTTTCCACACGACAAGAGAAATAGATGTAGAACAATAACGTCATATTTGGTTTCATTTCTATTTGTCTGAGCTCAAATTCTGAAGAGAACTCTTAAAGGACAATGCCTTACTAGTCCATCATGGGTTGTGCTCGTCTATTCAGATGCCAATGCGTAGCTTGGTTAGCAAACACTCCACGGTAGAACATGAATTTTTACTTGATCATAGTGTAAGGGAAAGAAAGCAAATTGCTCTGAGATTCCCTAGGAATCGCTGCGGTAATCGTAGAGTTTCCTTCCCCCAGGCCCGAGTAATCAGCAATATTAGACGCAGGGTGGTTAATGCATCACAACAGAAGTTCAGAGGTACAAGTGGGATACAGATATGGGTTCAATGCAGTACAAGCCAAACAAGTAATTAGTCAATACGGCGGATGAACGTGGCTTCGGATCAGTCTTCGGACAAATAGTATCTTCTGCAAAATAGGCAGGTATTATCGATTGAGGCATTGAGGGGAGGTTGTCAACTGGGTGAGGGGTTCACCTGTGTGATGGGACTTGATGGCGATGGGGGAGGGGAGGGGGAGGGGTTGGGTGTAGTGACTGGTTGATTGTGTGTAGTCGTACCCCGTTGGCGTTGATCGTTTGTTCACAACGCTATTTCTGGATTGTTTCGAATATTTACAAGACGATGGATGAACTTAAGCGTAAAGAAACAGTCACTCACTCATACATAGACGCTTCTGTAGACTTTTGTAGAAGGGAGGGGCGAGGTGTGTTTGTTAGTTTGTTTGTTGTTTAACACCACACTCAGCAATATTCCAGCTATATGACGGCGGTCTATAAATAATCGAGTCTAGACCAGACAAACCAGTGATTGACATCATGAGCATCGATCCACGCAATTGAGATACGATGACATGCATCAACCAGGTCAGCGAGCCTGACTACCCGATCCCGTTAGTCGACTATTACTACAAATATAGTCGCCTTTTACGGCAAGCATGGCTTGTTGAAGACCTATTCTGACCCGATGGAGGGGCGAGGTCGTAGATTGGAGGGGTGCTTGAAGCGGTAAAGAGGAAGAAGATAGATGGGAGAGTGAGATCTGGGATGCGATATTGGTTCATGGTGCCAACATCGGTTTGAGGATATGCGA